GGTACCATATATATATATACATATTCATGGGTTCATGGATTGTTTAGGGATTAGCTTCCCCTATTCCCTACTAGCCACCAGTAAGTGATCCCAGAGGGTCCAGATATATGACCATGAAGGAATAAGCCCCCCCAAAGCAATGCTACCGGGTCCTAATTCCTTGATAAAATTTTGGATCCTCTTGGTATACGTTGACTCTAGAAGGGGATACCAAGTAAGCTTGTACAAACTAAAGCCTGCATTTTGGACTGCACCCCTGGGCTGTAAGTCAGTGAGTAGTACCTAGTCTGGTCCTTAAAGTTCATACAGTATTCTCACTACGGGCTGTCTAGGGCCCTATAAAACTATAGGTAGGTGTCTGGAGTGACAGGTCTACATCGTGATGGGTCAGTTACACCTGGTCCGTTGCACCGTGGATGGAGGTGTGTTCGTGACTTGCTCGTTGTTAGTCACCCTCCCCTAAAATTTCAACCCCGCCCCCGCCCCTAATATCACAGATTTCAGCTATTCCCAACCCAACGTAGTAGAGTATACCACAACGAAATATTCATATCATGGGCGCTTGAGGTAAATATTATTATGGCAAGGTGATTAGTCGGGGATGACGGAATGGACAAGAAAGCGGAGACAATCTGATGGCTGCTCATATATAGGGGCTTACGATTACACCCTTCCATATGTGATAGCTCCACTATCTTGGTCCATTCCTGCCATTCCCTACTGACAACCAGTAAGGTCAGCGGTGCACGTACCCAGCCTCGCTTCAGCGAGTGCCGAATTCGGAAGTCGAAGGGCAATGGAATGCGGTTTACTGATCATTCACACGCACTGATGAACCGCAGCTACGTGGAAGATCACGGAGGTCACGGGGTCCTCATCGAGCGGAACTCGCAGCCCAAAATTGCCGAAACCTACATATCTGGCAATGCTGGCTATGGCATCCGTGTCTACTGCGGCGGCCAGAAGCTCCCCAACACAAATGCATCACTATTGCCAGAATCTCTCGAGAGCATTCGCAACAATCATTTCGTGGACAATGAGACTTGGCCTTACGCTGGGGCTGTGGGTTAAGGAATATAATACAGTGCCTCATCACCTTCCGCTAAAAAAGAACCTCCCCACCCCTCTTGTAATTAATGTGACACAATTTGGGGGGTGGACTTAAAGGTACTGACTTTTGGCCACTTGAGCTCTCGGACTGTTTTTTTGCTCGCTTTGTTTGCGCGAGTCCCTGCAAGCATGACAAGGTGCCTCCAAACAGTTGATTGGGAACAACCCCCGACCCCTTTGAAGCCCGAACTCCATAGTTCCTGGACCAGTTGGCCTGTACATGGGCACCCAAAATCTCCTAGCTCTTATTCAAAGGAACCCCCCCAAAAAGAGATTCCTCTTTTGGGGGGTCACCAAGTCCGGAAACGCCCACTTCTGGATTTTCTGAATGACATTAACCCTGAACCCTCAACCCTAAACCACCCTAAACCACCCTAAACCCTAAACCCTCAACATAGAAATCACCGTCCCACCACCTTTACTTGGGGGCCTTGCCCGTGCCTGCAAATACCTATTTTCGGATTTGGGTATCCCAATCAGCCTTTGTCTCATAACCCAGCCACACGGTTCAGGGTGTAGGGTTGAGGGTTTGG